GCGCATCTTGGTGTTCACTCTACGGAGTAACCATCCAGTCAATGTCGATCTAGTTCAACCTGCCCTGTTTGCGCCTGATCCATAATTCCATGTCCCAAGTAGTGTAGCAGCCTATGCCTGCCTCCGGAAGTATAAACTAGCCATTAAAAACTTGGAAGTGACGCACAATGTAGGCCCGGGTCCACGAACCCCGCATCATATTTAGGGCCTAGACTTATCTGATCGACTCTGAAACAGACTGTCACATTTTGCTTTAGGTACACCTACATGCATGGGTAGGCATCCACCTGGGCATATAGATTTGCGTTATTTTGGAAAGATCCTTTCAGTGTATCTTTCGGGTTTGAGGAAGAGCAAATAAATACTGTGTTGAAATAAAACATATAATCTGGAGTGAATGGTGGATGTGGAATGCGCTAAGCTGAAGCAGACATATAGTTCACACATAATAAGCATAATAATAACTCTGAGACCGTCCACAGGTGTTTGTGCTATAGCTTCATCTTTGGAAGGCTAATATCAAACAGCATCTGGGTACTATGTTTTCTTATTCGGCATTTGCCATCTAGATATACAGTGCGTATAAAGACCTCTTGTCTCTCTTACACTCTCTTCTTTTCATATTTTCCTGGTCATCTTGGGTCATCATATCTTCAGTATCAACTACTCCCTTCAATATTTATATACATATTCATCTCTCAAAGCCTCAATGGCACCATTTTCATCTAGGCGATGAAATGGCGGGTAGTCTAGGCAGACATATGGCACGGGGGAATAAATGGTGTTCACTTTGAAGCAGGTGGATTAGGTGTTCTCGTGGAACCACAGTATCATTCCCAGCATTCTGTTGCTCATGAATTGACCTGGGATCGTCACCTTGCCACATGATTAGCGCTGGCCAGCTCAAGGCCACTTTAGCCAGCGCTTGCGCCTCAGCGTGGTTTCCTTCCGGTATATGTTATCCGAACGGGATAAATGTTCCTGGTTGTGTGCGAGTTCAGAGCATCAAGGCAGTCAGATAGCTGTTCCCATCCCTTCCTCGGAAATGAATAGAGGCGACGATGCACTCCTGTGAGTGCCTCTAAGGAGACATTCTGTTGTGCATTGATTGCTAACATCGCTAGCTTGTTCCCTCTGCTGTCCAGCAAGACCTTTCTGCGGTGGAGAGAAAAGATCCTACGACTCCCATGGGATAAGTCGAAGAGAGCGTCAAGAAGTCCATTCGCGAGATCCCTACGTGCAGCATAGCGTGCTGCTTCTGGTAGTGGTGGGGTTGAGGCTCTCTCCACTCCGGTGATTCGTCTACCATATATCGATACAATGCTAGAGAAACTTGTAATTTTGTGGAAGCTCCAACTTATTTCATAAATCAATGATGATGTTCATGTTTATATCGCCAGTCACACCGGGTGATCTAGTATTTGCTTGAGATTATCTAGAATTTAGATATTCAGGTCTCAATCGAGTAGAAACTGGTGGCAGAGAAGCCAACCAGTAGCCCATGCATTATATGAGTTGTGTGGCAGAAGAGCCCTAGAGCAGCTTGGATGGTTGAGTTGCCCCGAGCGTAAACTGCTACTTCAGCTAGCAGGGTCTTACACTAACCACAGTGTACATTGCGACCAATATACAACTCCACCTTAGCGGTTTGCATATCAATGTCAAACATTTGGGAGACTAGGAATTGCCTTGGTCTGGGAATACAAGAATGTATCTCAGTGCCACTGGATCTCACCCATTGCCAGCCCGCTGTTGCATCCAACGCAGTACCCACTCAACCAAGATGCTCAAGTCTTGTGAGACCTCGAGCACTCTGGCAATCTTCTTTTGTATATCCTGGAGCCCTGAGTCAAGGTTATCCATACCTTGCATTTCAGTGTCGCCACCATTTTCACCGTCCACTAACCCAGCAGTATCCACAACTGATATCTGGCCGTTCAGCCCGACTTCAAAGCAAATCGCGATTTGTCTGGGGGTTTGAATGGATCGAGCGGTTTCGGGACTCTCGTTGTAGTTCCTCTGATCTGTGATGAGTAACATGAGAGCAGGCGCTTGGCCGAGTTGAATACGCAATGTCACATCGACTTTGACGTCGTCCCCGGACATTTGATTGGGACTCTTTCCTCCACTGGAGGGGGTTGAAATTTCAACTCCAGAGTCATTCTTGGTATCATCCGAGCTACCCAGACCAAGCAGCAGATTCAATCTCTCCTCGTTCGGATCATCGTTGTTCAATATTATGGGCCCGTCGTGGCCGGCGAAGAGGTCTGGGGTTTGGACAGGAGGAGCGCGGGTTTTTTGGGGGGTTGCATTTGCATTTGAAGACTCGGTTGCTTTGGCCTGGTCCTTGGGAGGAAGATGGAAGGTCTTCCGAATCAAATTGGCTAACACAGCATACTGCCGGAGGATCTAAAAAGGGTTAGTGAAAGACAATATCGGACGAAAACACACATACCGGAAGGATATCTGCGAGCTGTCGGGGGTGCGAGAAGGGTAGGTCACGGATGGTGCAACCAGTAATGGACTCAAAGGATTGGAAAGTGTAGTTATGCTGTTTCGTATACTGCTTGCCCTTTGAGTCAACAGCGTGCACTGACATCCGGCGCTTTCTACGGCCAATTTGAGGGGATGAAACAGGCGACGTCAACGGCGAAGATTCCGATACCAACAACGCATCGTACGTGATCATCTTAAACTCTTGTGGTAGCTGCATACCGAGCTGACGATAAATCTCGGAGGCTGCAAGAATAGGAACGTCGAGTGCAGGCTCAAGTTTACCGACGAACCGGCGGTTGGGTGGCGATGACTCCAGCATGCTAGAGTCCAACGCCATGGGATCATGGTTGCCATGGGTCAACCGCGTGGTCTGCGGAGGATCAAGCCAGTTCACAGACCCAGCGGCACCATTTGATGGAAGCAATTCAGTGTTTTCACCTGCAGTAAAAACTTCACTCCCAACCCATTCCTTTGAAATACGCAGTGACGGATACCCCTCTTCGCATTCAATCATGATAGTCCATGATCTTCCTTGATCATCCAACTCACCCTTTGAGCTGGGATCATGTTGCGGGTCAATTTCCATATCATCCGGAGATGGTAGGCTCTGCTTCGCATCCAGGACTTTGGCTTGTTCAACCCAATATTCCAAGCCGAGACCGATTCGAGTACCCTTATGCATAGTGGGACGTCCGAGGACACCTGCGCAAAGATGCTGATACTCGCCGCCGTGCTTCCCATTCTTGTTTTCTTCCACCCAGATCCGCCTGAAGTTCTCTTCAAGGTTCTCCAAGGCCTCAAAGCAATTAACCTCTTGGCTGAGTTTGTCAAGTTTTGCAAGCCATTGTAGATTTTCATGGAACTCTTGGAGTGACCTCCAGTTCCCACGTTCGGCGTCTTCCGGAGACTGGGCGAGGGTACGTTTCAAGACCGCTGTAGCTTCCTCGCGCCGCACACCTTCCGTGTATTCAGGCGTGGCATATCGTAGACTGACGTCTTTGACGACATCCTGGCCAGCGTAGAAATCGATCTCAAGATCGACGAAGTTACCGGCGATGTTGAGATTATCATCCTGCCAAATGGACTCGAAATCTTCAAATCGACTCAGCCGTTCCACGCTTTCACGTGAAACTCCTCTACCCGAGACCCGGGCTCGTAGAAGCTGAACGACCTCCTCGACGCGATGTCTCTGCTCTTCGTCGTTGTCGCGCGCGACTCCGAGCTTGATTCCCTGCATCCCGAGGTTTTGGATGTCGCTCTCGTTCATGCCCGCACCAACAAGACCATCATGCACCGCAGGGGAAGGACTGATGCCAGTATACCCACCAAGCGCCAAGAGAGCAGAAGGCGAGCTGAAATTGACAGTGTCGTCGACCCCACTAGTGACGGCGAGAGGAGTAGCGTATTGATGGGACGATACACTCGTGTAATGTGCATGCGCAGGTCCTGAGCCTGTCGGTGTTCTCATTGAAGGCGATTTATGGGCGAGAGATCGAGATAGAGCAGCGGAGGATGGATGGGGAGAGGAGAGATGAGTTGGCGTTGCGCCAGGTTTGGCGGAGGGGGTCGCCATGATAAAATGAAAGGAATGGCCAGAGCAGAGTATGAGAGTAATTGAAAATTAGATATAGTTCAAATCCGTCTGAAAAAAATGGGTATCATAAGAAGTATTGAAGCACCTTGCGCAAGGAAGCCGGGTATGTTTGAATGCGACTCAATTCTCACCGGCGCAAGTGCTGATTTGGCAGGTGCACAAGAGAAGAACTGTCAAATGATTGTACGGATCAAATATCATGACGCATCCAAAGCTCCCCCGTTCCCATGAACACTGAAATTAACAAGCACGATTCATTTTCCAGAGCACATTCCAAATAGACAGCTCCGCTCCGCCAAAAGACATGATCACGTGTGTTTGCATTATTTTTTGCACTGTTTGTCTTCATCGTCATATCTTTTGTCAATGGCCCATTTCCCAATGAATCACAGTATTTGATTTATTTCATTCCGTCAATATATATATATATAATTCAAGCTGAACTAGCACACTGGTTGAGGCAGTTCCGATTAGCTGTTTGATTGAAATAATACTTAACAAGCAGGTAGTGGGATTCATGGGTGGTGACAACTACATATGTATTGCGGTTGAATCAGTGTGAACCAGAATGCATGAAGGGGTTTTTTTATTACGAGAACTACGAAAGCACATGCAATTTATAGCGGCATAGAAACAGGCTTCTCTATACAAAGCAGGATGTGACTCTTGGTACCTTGGACATTGGAGCTTTGGCGATGATTATTCTCCTATGTCTGCAGGAATCCATAACAATTAACCATACACATTCCACCAATTGACCTGAAAGACAATATCTTTACATATGTGGCACGGGGGTCCATAATCTCAACCTTGGAATTCTCACTCTTCCCATCCGCTCTCCAACCTTGCTTCATCTGAACAATCGGCACCCGGACACACACTTACACATACACACACAGGAGTGCGTTCCCTACCTCTTGTTCTTCTTCAGCACTCGGAGAAGCCAATAGAGGAAAACAGCCATGAAAATGTTAAATGCCGCATACACCCACAGCACTCCAAAGCCATGCACCGCTGCGAGTAATCAGCCCCGAGATTTGCAAGGAACTGATCTGTCTCGGTAAATTGGCAGTATCGACAGTCTTCGCCGTTGCCAATTGCGCCAGGATTGACGAGTGCACCGCCGTTGTCATTGATATAGCCGCACATGTACTGAGCACAGCTCTGATTTTGCGGCGCACGGAATGTCTTGTATTCATGATCAGCGCAGTGCATAGGTGCCCGAGCGAGACTGGTCGAGATGAATCCGGTGGCGAGGTATGTGAACGGGTTGGCGCGGTATACCCACCTCCAGAAGTGCAGCATTGCGGATGGGGGAACGAGCAACCCGCAGAAACAGTAACAGATGAAGACGAGCAAAGTGGAAGCGGAGGAGGCAATTTCGACGTTATCGAGACCCGAGATCAGCATGTGTCCGAACGTGCTGGCCCAGATGAAGGTGACTCAGATTAGCAGGAAGATGAGAGTGCTGCGCGAATGCACTGAATCGGTAACCTCGGCGTTCCGATAGCAGCCAAGAGGGTAATACCAGCACAGGAAGGTGGAGATGGATAGGAACTAAGGGTCGAGTTACACGTCAGTACTAGGTGGAGAAAAGGAACACTGGAAGAAATATATGGAGAAGGAAGAGAAGAGCTGCTCGGCCTCAGTTACCATGTGCCATACTAACCCAACGAACATGTTGCTTGGAAGGAACGCTTGCCAGGCGTATGTTTTTAACTGGCGCTAGCGGGCTTCAAACACTGTCCGCTGCGTCACGAAGGCAGGAAGCGTCTGGAATATCAGCTGCATCAGGACGATCAAGACGATGAAGATGCCGACCATCCGATTTGCAGCCATTGGTAAGTATTTTCCCCCATGAAGAAGGAAAATCCAATAAACAATGCCTACGGCAGGGCAGTTAGGTTAGCATCTGCTTTTTATAGGGCACATAATGTGGCATTCTGACCTACCGAAAAGATGCAGGGCTGCGCTTTGGAGTAGATATACCCGGGCGAACGCCAGTACTGTTGAAACACACGACATCCAACCACCATGAATTGCGTGGCAATCGGCGCGGAGAACTCCTGATAACTGGAGGAATCGTGTGCATTTACCACAGTTGGAGGTTTATTGGCGAGCTTTCGCAGCTTGTCAAGCCCCTCTCCAATATTCTGGTATTCCGGGCTTTCGCGCCAAGTGGTGTGCCAGTCGATATCACTTTGTGCTCCAGGGGCTCAATAAAACATATGCTCTGCGGGATTAGCCGTCACTGGACAAGCCTTCCCACCATTTCGGGTGAAGTAGTCCATGAGAAATTTTGAATTTTCGCCAATTTCTCCAAAATAGACAGTTTTACCAACACTGTCCAGGATCCGTCGCCTTTCCCTTTGATTTGGATGTCGTAGCAAACGTTCTCCCAATGGAACGCAGATTGTTGCTTCTCGACGTTAACGTTCGAGTCAGATTCATTCAATGCTCCAAATGAGACTAGCTCTGATCCCAAATGTTCCTCATCGATCTTTTAAGGCTTCGCCTTCGCTTTGAGCAACTTGCTCCGTTGGAACACCAGCACCTGGCCTTTGGAGCACTCGGCACTAATAATATCGGATAACCAAAGGTGGACAACAGCAAACAGAACTGTGAACGTGATGACAATCCCCTCATTTCGCCAGCGGTGTCTGTGTGAATAATAGTAGGAACTCTCATAGAACGCCCCAGGATTGTCCCGCAGGGTTTTACTAGCGTATGGCGATGTCCCGTTACCAGGGACTAACGGGCACTCTGAGAAGCTTATAGAATTGATCATTCATGAAGCCTGTGTGTAGGCTCTACGTGTCAGGCGCCGGGCGGTGGGCGGCTGCAGATAGGCTTTCAGAGCTGGAGTAGACAGGGATCCTCTAGCCGCACATCAAATAGGTTAAATCAACTTAAACTGTATTATGTGTAAATATTGCCTCATGTTCCCTTAGATGATAAACATTCAATCTGCCTGGATACCAACATCGAGCACATCTATCCTTCCTCGGACGTTTGTTTTGGCAAAATTTAACATAAGAAAATCCGGAAACTACTTAGGTCCATCCGCTGATCCCGAGTGGACCTCGGCTCGGGAGATTCCGAACTTTATTATTGCCTAATTAAAATAGGGACCGGTGCCCAGGTGGACCCGTAGACCGCGCCGGGCCTACAACATACATAGGTGCACCGCCTTTCTAATATTAACCTGCCAACACCCACATGCAACATGTCCTTACATCGCTAGTCAAAATGACATAGAAGTATGGATAAATCTAAGAAATAGAGCGTCCAAGAGGGATTCTAAGACAATGCGTTATCAGGTTCAGGCGTCTCCAAGCACTCTTCGAGGGGAGCTTATCCGAGCGGGATATAGACAGATAGGTTGGCCATGCCACTATAATCACTGCGTACGGGCCATCCGAATGCTCCACCTATGCTACCATACAGCCCCGTATCAGTCGCCTGTCAGACCCGCGCGATATCGGGTATCCCATGCAGAATCTGCTGTGGATTGTTGACCGAAATGACCACGATGGACTGGCTCCCGAGGGCACCGTGCGCGAGCTGGTGATTGAGGGCCCATCGGTAGGGAGTGGATATCTAAGGGATCCCAAAAAGACGGCCGAAGCGTTCGTCCAGCAACCACAGTGGCGCTCACGCTTCCCCGCCAGTGTGGAAGGGGGCTTTTACAAGTCGGGTGACCTGCTGCGGTACGGGCCCGACGGTACCATCCGCTTCGTGAGCCGCAAGGGCTTTCAGGTCAAGATAAACGGACAGCGTCTGGGAATGGAGGAAATTGTACACCACTTGCGAGCATACTTGGGGCGGTCTATCGACGTGCTCAGTGAGGTTCATTGCCAGAGGGCGCTCGATCAGATGTGTGAGGCAGCATTTTGGCTCGCTGCTCACCCTTATCATTTGCTCTCAGAAAGTGGAAATTCTTTCATGGCGAATTGAAAGACTGTCATATCTTGCTTTTAAATAGTCTGATTGCAGAAGCTCTGTTTTTGGTTTGAATTGCTCTGCTTGTTGATATCTTCCTTGACTGCGCCTACCAGAGCATGCAGAAAGTGAATTGCGCCTTCCCTATATCATACTTCCATGTAGATGGCTTATAAGAGGTGCAATTCCGCGCTGAAAACTGAAGAATCATATGTAGTTCTGTGTAAAGTACCAGAACTGCATATGAAAATATCTACAGAAAGTAAAAGAAGTAAAACTGACCATCTCCTAGGCACCTGGGCCCGGCATCACCCCAGGAGGCCATCACATACGCTGACTAATATAGATTGTTGTCCCGGGTCCCGGGGAAAGTTAATTCCGTACCTGCATTCACTGCCTGATGAAACTGGCTTAAAACCAGCATATCGGGTCCACTTTTCTTCCGACTCATATTCACCGCCTTTGAAACCGCCTGCCATTTCCATCGAGCTATGATTCAGCTCTCTCAGATTTATTCATATCCAACCTGCTCAATTACTCACTACCAAGTACCTTGGACTATTTACAGCTCCGATGTTTGCAGCAAGAGCATTTGGCCGACAGGCCCGAGTTCTCCCCAGATGGACTCAATTCCGTTGTGTATCGACATTGGAAGGGTCTCCGTACATAGTATGTGATTGTTGCACCTTACAGAGCTCTCATTGAAGCTAAATTCTTGATAGTACGTGTTCCCAAATGAACCAACAAGTGGAACCCACATCTTATCACTATTACCCTCCGAGCCCGTCAACCGAGACTTGGCTATCGGAATCTCGACTCAACTGCCACCGACAACAGACTCCTTCAAAGAGAACCCCAAATTCCTGAATATTGTACAAGAAGTGTGCTCAGAATACGCACATGAAGACCCCGATGCCAAGTCCCAAGCTCAGGTCATGGTGTCTGTAGCCGGAGCGAATCTGAACTCAGGCGGCGTGTTATTAACCGGCCAGCGCGGGAGACGTCGTGGGGCCGACTCGGCCAGCGGTGCTAGTGGTCAAGGTGGTGCTGGCTCTGGTGGTCGTGGTGGTTGGATTCATGTCTCTGACGGCAGACGGCCGCCTGACTATGGGCGGATTGCTTGGTAAAGGCTTTCCTGTGTTTCAACAAGCACGTTTTATTCCATATGATACGTATACTAATGTCATTCAGGCCCGAGGATATGTTCGGAAGCCTTGAGGTGGATGCCAAAGGTCAGTTCGTTGGAGACAATGGCAATTATCAGCCAAGTGGTATGTTTTCCGACTATATGAGACTCAACAGGCCAAGCTAATACTTAGCAGGTACCTATCGTATCCTGACCCGAGATGGAATGTAAGTCCCCCCTTCTTAGATGTTCGGTCATGCTAGTATTCACTGTTGATTGATTGATATAGTTTCGGATTGAGTCCTTTCCTCAGAGAAAAGCTGGTCCAGAAGCTACGAGAGCTTGAGAGGTGATTGATCACTTCAAAATACGGGTACATCGCCCACTGAATTCTATGTAAAATATATATCAGCCCTCAGCAGTCAACTCGGAGCTCTACTCTTTTCTTTCCAACCCGCATTCAATTTCTGTTGGACTTTTTGTCCCGTCTTTCTTTAATCACAATCCTCTTACATTAGACTATTCTCAACTCAACACATCTTACAGGTCAATTGGGTTTCCTGCTGTATGGAGCTGAGCTCACTAGATGTATTAGATACGAGTGTGTCGCCTAGTAAATATGGTTCGGTCATGTTCTCATCTCTGCTTTAAAAAAATATATATATATATATATATTGGTCAAAAGTATGGCCGAGAAATAAAAAGAGCAAAGTTCAGTTCAAAGGTTATACATGGAAAAGTCAAGTTGTACATTTTAAACCGTTTTCGCCGCCTATATCCTAGCTACAACACCAATAAGGGGGAAAATATCGAAAAAGAAGACATCCAAAAAGAACATTTGAAAGATTAGCAAAAAAAGGAGGTCACAAGGCCATTCCTGTTTGCTTTAGTGCACATATTATTACTTCTTGAAGAAACTCGTAATTCGCTGCGATCCATCTGCTGCCTTCGTCCCACTGGACTTCTTCATAGGGCTATTATGCGTAGCACTGCGCAACTTCTTCGTTTGCGGCGATAGCCCCGTTGTATCTGTATTGACCTTTTGCTTCTTACTTTCCTCTGCGGCACCGGGAGCTTCTGGACTATGCTCCCTCTTGACAGCTGGCACCGGTTTTGGGGCATTGTCCTCGCTCCATTCCGAATCCTTGGTAGGGCGGTCGTCGTCTTTAACCATCTTCACTTTCGGCGACACGGTCTCCGTTTTCTTATTGGCAAAGAAGTTTGCGATGTTGCTCTTGTTTTCCTTGCTGTCGACAGGGATAATAAAGTTCGGGGAATTATTTCCGACTTTCCCAACCTCCTTGGCGACAGGATAGCACTCCAGTTCGCCGTCATAGGGCTTGAGAATTGATTGGAGTTCCTTTGACCAGGTCTTTTGGCGGGGGTCCAGCCATTTATTCATCGCCTCAGTCCCGGAGTCCAGAATGACCGGCATACGTTCATGCAGGAATTTTAGGTAGGGATTAGAAGAGGTCGTGATCACCGTGTACGTGTAGAGCTTTTCGTCAGAACCTGTGCAAAGTAGTCGTCAGTTAGTCGGATCAATGCTTTATATCAAAGAAGTCTAGACATGCCCTCATAGGAAACATAGTCCCATAATCCAGCGAAGCACATCAGCTCCCCGTCTTTGCGCCGGATAAAATGTGGAACCTTTTCTTTGCCCCCAGGCCCCTTCTTCAGCCACTCGTAAAAGCCCTGACAGATGACAATGCACCTCTTTCGTCGTTTCATGCTAGTCCACATTCCCTTATCTTCAATCAACGAGTCATCACGACAGTTGATCGTGCGCATCATGGATCCGTAATCCGGCTGGCGCTTCGTCCAGAATGGGATGAGACCCCATTTCATGCTCTGGAGTTTATGTTTGATAACCGTGTTGTCTACTGGCTTCACATCCGAGCTCGCGTCATCTTTTCCCTTTTCTAAATCTTGGCTTTGGTGCTCACTATCAGCATCTTGCTGAGCATTGTAGTTCCCTTTGTCGGTGATCTCAGCGCGATAGACAACGCCGAAGTTGCCCGGTGCAAAGTTGTATGTCTCTCTGACTTCATCGTCGTCTGGTGCCTCATCCACTTGCATGCCTTGCTCTTGCAGGCGTTGTTGGATGTACGCCAAGCGCTTGGGATCGTCAGCTAGCGGACAGTCTAGACGCAGGAGCCGTAACATACCACGCCTAAAGCGTATCGCCCACACATTATCAGTGTGAACCACTAGATCGATTCAATAGCGAGGTCTCCACAATTAATGCTCGATCAAAACATTGCATTTTCCAGACAGAATGGGTGGAGAGGTGAGTGTATCCTCAAGCGGGCGACGTCATATGGCGGAGCGGAGCTTGGACCACCAGAAAATCGAGGGCGGGCTCCATCAACTCGCCATATACCCTCTCCCTCCTCTCCCTCTCCATTCTCTACGTCTATTTCCCAGGTTGTATCGGACAATCACCCGCTCAATCAAAATAAAAACTTGAAATTTTAATCAAATACCCACTCACACACTCCCAATGTTCCGCGCAGCATCACGGCGCACGAGCGCGCATGCCGCAAAACTCCTACAACCACAGCCAAAGAGTCTCGCCCGCTTAATATACATCAACAGCACAGCCCGACCAACCCTCCAACCCAGAATCAACAATGGCAAACCACTCGCAAGCCCCTACATCTCCGGCACACGGCACCTCACAATCCTGCAGAAAATCGGCCGCAAATACCGCGAAGCATCTAAAGGAATCTGGCGCAAGAACCCCGTCCTCATGCCACTAGCAATCTTCTCGGTTGTCGGTGGAGCCTTCATTTTCGCCTACATCTCCTACGTGGAATTGACACGCGTCGGGCCACAGTACCACAAATTTCCGCCGCCGGTGGCCGACGCTCTCCGCACGGCTATCTATTACACCGAGATCGATCTCAACCCAGCCAAGGCGATGAAGGCGTACAGAGAGGCGCTGCATATAGCATTTGAGATGGGCATACACCCATACTCAGATGAGATACTTGGAATCAAGCTGCAGGTTGCTATGATGCTGGAGAAGGCTGGACTTATGAAGCCGGCGATTGATGTATTGGAGCGAACGAAGAATGAGACTCTGGCCTGGGTGGAGGAAGTCACAGCAGGGAACGCTGCTGCAGCGGCTGAGAAGGTGAAGCAAGCGCAGGCGCAGGTGCAGAAAACCTCGGCCAATGTCCAGGTTAACACCGAGGCGATCCAGGAAACCGAGGAGGATCTGAAAGCCATGGCGCAGTACGAGGCTCGTCAGCGAGATAAAGCGCTTAAGAAAGTCGTCGGCATTGCGATGAAGCTTGGCGAGCTTTATTCCAGCGAGTATATACAAGACGAGAAGAAAGCTGAGGCCGCGCAGGTCGCTGCTGTGGAGATCTGTCTGAAGGAAATGCACCGTCGCCAGAGGCTGGGACTTCCTGTTGGCAGTGCTAGCAGTGCCGAGGGCTCAGACGGCGAGGCATGGCTGAACCTCACTGAGATCGCCACCGCGTTGGCTGAGCTTGCTGCTACCTATACCGCCAAGGAACGGTACGAGCTGGCCATGCCGCTGTATATGCGTGCGTTGGATTTGATCCGCGCCGCTGAAGGAACTTCCATATCTTGCAAACAGGTGGTGCTGCTGAACGATGTCGCTACCGCTCTGGTCGGCCAGGTTCAACTGCCCGCAAAGTCTCAGCCGCAGCAGCCTGTTACAGCGGAGCAGACTGTTGACGCTGCCCAAAAGTGGGCGGAGAAGGCAATTGAGGTTGCCGCGCACATTGAACCCCCGCTACGTGACGAGGAGTGTGATATTACTTGCGTGGTTGCGACGTATAACCTGGGCGAGCTGGCTGAGCTACAGAAGAAGCCAGAGGTCGCTAAGCAACGGTATACTGAGGCTAAGGCGTTGGCCGATGGGATTGGATATGAGGAGGGAAGTATGATGGCCAAGGAGGCCTTGAAGAGATTTGGAAAGAAATAATGGGTAGATTTGTCAAGGCCTCTCTGTTCAGCCTGATGTACATTATAACCAACGTTGGAAATAGGAAATAGAAATCTCAACCCATTCCTGTATATCATTTGACGCTGTCCGAGGTACATCCGGCGGCTATCATAGCATTACACTACATGGGTGACAGCAGTGGGAGGATAAATGAGTAGACAGATATATAACATAAGACATACGGTACGATGGTTTTACAAGAGCTTCTTAATAAGAAAAATAGGAAACATTTTGATGCCTTAACTGGTATTAGAACATCACACGTCTTGTACAAGATTCCATACATTTTCAATGCGGATCAAGTAGGCTAGACATGTCAGAAAACCTTCAGGCCGGGGACGATTCTGTCCCGGCGAGAAGTGCTTCATTGCTCGTGGCTCATACATCCCAAACCAATGCTCTTCTGGCCATATCTTTTGAACTTTTTTTCAATTCCCTTGTCAATAGATCAAAAAGAGGCTCCTCAAGCTCCGATACAACAACTCAAATCTATGCGCGCGACATAACACCCCAGGCACGGATCTTGTTGTCGGTGTAACCGGCGAACAGGGTCTGGCCGTCAGCGGACCAGGCCAAGCTGATGCACTCGGGGTCACGGCTCTTCTTGCCCTTCTCAACGAACTCAGGCTTGAGCTCATCAACCTTGCTCTTCTTCTCGAGGTCGAAGATGGTGATGGAGCTGCTGGTGGCAGCGCACAGCCAGTAGCGGTTGGGGGAGAAGACGAGAGCGTGGATCTCATCGCCAGCGGAGAGGGAGTAGAGGTGCTTGGACTCGTTAAGGTCCCAGAGCATGGTGGTACCGTCCTTGCCACCGGAGGCGCAGAGGGATCCGTCGGGGGAGATAGTGACGGTGTTGATGTATCCGGTGTGACCGATGTGGTCGGTCTGGAGACGGCAGGAAGCGAGCTCCCAAACCTAGACGCGGATCAAATGTTAGCGTCGATACCCTCATAAAGAATGTCAAGTGTCATGGAAAGTTTTTTCCAATCCTTCTCTCGTTCAATTAAAAAACAAAAAAATTGTTGCTGTGCCCATCAGGCAAATTGGGTGAAAAATTGTCTCATGGCCCCGAAGGGCTCTGAAGTAGCAAATACGTTTATGCAAACATCACGCGGGCATAGCAAGGCGGGGAGGAAATTCTGCAGGAAGATTCGGAATCGATAGCGTACCTTGACGAGCTTGTCCCAGCCAGCGGAGACAATGACGGGGTTCTGGGGGTTGGGGCTGAAGCGAACGCAGGACACCCACTCGGTGTGGCCCTTGTCGGTGATGGTGAACTTGCAGTCACCGAGGGTGTTCCACAGCTTGATGGAGCGGTCACGGGAACCGGAGACGATCTGACGGTTGTCGGCGGAGAACGAGACGGACAGAACATCGTTGGTGTGGCCGACGAAAGTGCGGGTGGTGTTACCGGTGGAGAGCTCCCAGAGACGGAGAGACTTATCCCACGAGGCGGACAGAGCGTAGGCACCGTCGGAGGAGATCACCTATAACGCAGACAAGACCATCGGTCAGCCAAAACCATTCCATCTTTTTTTCATTTTTTTTCGAAATGCGCCATCCAAATCCATCTGTCGCATCCAATGGTTTCTGGGTGTGGTTCATTCGGGAGAAGAAAAACGTACACAGTCAGAGACGATGTGCGAGTGACCCTCGAGGCTGCGCTTGGGGTAACCGTAGGCCTGCTCATCACGGGTAAGGTTCCAGATGATCAGGGTCTTGTCGCGGGATGCGGACAGCAGCATGTTGGGGCTATCATCAAACATTCAAGTCAGAATTTTGTCCCTTCAAAAATTCAATCCCCCGATCGGGATAGGTCACTCTTACTTCTCCAGGGAGGTGGCGAGGGAAGTAACCCAGCCATTGTGGCCCTCAAGGGTGCCGCGAAGAACCAGCTGCTCAGCCATGATGGGAATGAGACAATGAAGGAGAGAGAGGGATGGGCGGAGATTGTCGTTGACTCTGGGGGGTGAGGTAAAATCGAGATGGGAGGGCAGACGTGCCCGCTCAAGCCCTAAGCCGCTTCGCTGCTCTCCTTGTGTGGTTCCGTGGAGCCCTAATACTAAGCGAAGCGGTCACATGACTCGCATCTATACAGATCTCTGGGCCTCGACTACGATGTATATTGGAGATAGAGAATTGAAGGTCTATTTGCATTCGAGTTTTCTCTGTCATATTCGAAACCAACAACTGCTTTGTTTTTCTATCCCAATCCGTGAAATCTACACCCATTGATCCCTGTACCATCACATGTACAACATTCTTAATACACGCCTTCTACTATGGACAATATGACCACTATGGCAACTATAGTACAGTTTTGAGATCGACAAACTTCCCGAGTTCAATCTCTTCCACAGGCCCTTACGAGTTAAACACCTGAACATCAGGCATTCTTCCCAAGCCACCACCACCACCAGTCTTCTTATTCTTGGCCTTCTCAAAGCCAGTAGCACTCTTATCACGAACATGCGCTCTGAGCAGCGTGAGAACCTCAGAGTCCTGCCAGCGCGATGGAACAGGCCGGTAAGCCGCCCTGAAAGCGCCAATAGTCTGCGCCCATTCACCGCTTTTGGCACCAGTCTCCTTCCAAGTCTCGGTGATGGTATCCTCCTTAGGAGCGGAGGGTGAGATCTCCTCCGGTGGGTCCTGTGTCGACCAGTAGTAGATATCCCAGTCGTTCTCATCGAGGAAGCTGTCATACTCGACGAGCTGATCGTAGTCCATCTTGCCTAGGTAAACATCTGCGAAGGTCGAGAGGAGCAGGTCTGACTCCAGGATTCCGCGCTTGCGGCTTTGGTCTTGGGTGGCATTGGTTAGCTTGAATGGTTCTTGATATATTGATGCACCGGATTCTCGGATTTGGAATTGGGACCGAGATACAAGCATGCATGGGAACGGGTACGAACATAGCAGGCGTGCCCTCTTCGTGGCAAGCTCCTCCCCAACTCTCTTCAAAGGCTCAACCTTAAACGTAATACCCTCCATCTCACCGACGCCAAGCTCGGGCTTCTGCGCCCCGTTATCCTGACGACCACCGGTGAAATGCTCAATCCTTCCGGGGTACGGATCAGACGGTCTGTAGTTTGGGTCGACTGAGTTCAGCATCTCCGGTGGCGGGGGCTTCTGGCCGACATTGATGAAGTCCTTTGTCATAGTGGAGGTTGTGTTGGGCACGAATTGGTTCGGGGCCTTGTTGGCCTGGTTTGCGCGGTGCGCCTTTACCTCCGGGGCAGCTTCGTCGCCATCTTTGAGGCGTAGAGCTGTTGCGCCGAATTGGCGGTTTAGTCTTGTAATTGTGCTTAGGGATGATGGCACTGGTCGCGCGAGGCGATGGAGTATACGTGGGGCGGACATCTTGTCGTACAGTATCCTATAGAGAGAGAGAGTCGGGACTTTCTTTACTCTAGGGATGAGGAGTTGGCGTTTGATGCTCGGCTTTGACATCATCCGGTGTAATCCCCGGGGAACCGAAAAGCTCCTGCAATGCCCGGTGTTTGTTCTGTTTGCAATCCTAAACATTCCACTGAGAGGCCATGGATTACAAAGTGCACACTTCTCGACACAGCTCAATACTAGATTCTATGTGTCTATTGGGTCCCTTCTGAGCCTTGGAATTGGGGCACTTTTTGTTTGCTGTCTTGATCTGTCCGTTGTTTTCAATGTTGATTTCATCGAACTCGGAATCCCCCTACAAGATGTCGATCTATAGATGTGTACACTGACCTCACGTAGACATCCAAAGCTCCCTCCAGGGCTACCTACCAAGGTACCTACTATGTAGGCAGTGTTTTACCAGCATATATACTATGTAGATATTACACCATCCATGAATACTCGGGTAATATCTCACTGGGCGAAAAGGAGCCCCTATAAAGGATAGCTAACCAATCCCCTAGACATCACATGTCAGAAACAGAAAATATTATTAGCGCCAGGCTGCAGAAAGCATGGTGTACATTTTATATCATTGAGATCATGACTGTTAAACAGAATGTCACTCGACATTAGAGCAAAAGGATTTGCAATGCAACAGCTGCAAAACCAAAAGAAAGAACCATCAAAGATGCAACCATTCCATGGACTAGTAAATCTAGATAAGGTGCTTAGATCTGCAAGAACCAAATAGTCAGTAACGAATTCCACCTCCCACCACAACCACAATTCGACATACCTGAAGTAAGCCCTCAGGTAAACAACCTGCCAAGCACCAAGCCCAATAAGCATGCCCATGGTCCCGAAAGCGAACCACTTCACGCGCTCATTGGTGCTCTCATTGGTATCACGCAAACGCTGTTCACGCGCACGCAGGTATTCCATCTCGGTCACGATATCGGCAACCATCTCCTCGATGCGGCGGAGGTCTGTCTCGACGGGCTTGAGCTTCTCCTGCGACTGAATGCTGTTCCAGTCGCGGGCGTCGGCGCCAATGTCGACGTCAAGTTCGATGGGGCGGGAGGGGTTCTGGATGGTGTCTGATGGGGTGGTATTGTTTTAGCATCACTTTCTCTTTAACTCCGGCTTCTTCCCCGGTGTATTGTTCGTGTTGTTCGAGGGGACTACCACTTACTGTGGCCGACTAGCAGGTTCTCGAAGCAGACATCGAAAGCCGTGTCCGCGGGCGAAGTGAAAATCTGACGCGTCTCGCCGACGACATCCTTAGGGCGACCATGGTCATTGCCCATAGAGTCCTTGATCTATACAGAGAAAAAGAAGAATTAGTCGCGGTCCACGATTCAGCAATTCGGCGGTTTGGCTTCCAAGTCCCAGCAGACGCAGGACGAGATCCCATCCACATCCAAAAATAACTCCACGTACATGAATATTGACCTTCTGGCCATCACCCTTCGTGCCGCCAACAATGGCAGTGACAACGACGAGCTGGTCCTTCGAGACGAAGTTGCGAATGCATCGCTCGTTCTTGCCGCCGCCGGAGGTGGCGACGAGGTCGAATTTAAGGGCGTTGGCGAGCTGGATGAAGACAAACAGGAAGCCAAGGATGGCCCTCAGCGTGATTGGTGAGGTGCCCATTGTTGCGGCGTGGAATTGGCGGTTGTAAACACGGATGCTTGCTGTTGATGACACCTGGTAAGGGGAGCGCGGGATTAACTTTGTTCCGGTGTTACGATCTGTGAGCTATACTTCGACTAAGGATTTCTTGTTTCACACAGCAAATAATGCTGGGGTCTATTGTTTTGTATTTGCGTAAATTGAGTTATTACTACGTATTGGAATTATGTTGTTCAAAGAAGAATGAAATGGTTTCTGAGTGTCAGGGCATTGGAAAATAGCCCAAGTATAGAATAGGCATGGTATCTCGAAATCCACGAAAACAATCAAAGCGACGTCCCAACAAAGAGACAAAATAGAAAACCCGAAGTCCGTATTAATCGTTCAGTCCCACACAGAAAGGTAGAAAATAAAATGGTGCACACAAGCGCAAGAGATAGGAAAAAGCCACCCGGTCGTAGCCATAGTACACAATAAGGAAAAGAGGACATCTATGTGAACAAAGTAAAGAAGAAGGGAATGATAAAGATGGCAGTGATGTTGCACAAATAAGAAAGGCCAAAGCGATGGACATGGTATGTAGATCGTTAGATGAATTGGAACGCTCAGCAAAGCAAGACATTAGTCGAGAATGTCGTCAGGATACTTTCAACCCATTAAGCCTCGACCTTCTTTCGGCGCGTGAAGAAACGGGAGAAGCCACCGTCTTTCGATTTAGAGCCCATCGGCGAGGATGAAGATCGCATAGGGCCCGGAGGAGGCCCGGTGTTTCGGAGGAAATCTGCCAAATCACCGGTGCCGGGCTGGCGGTTTGAGATAGAAGGCATGGTGCCATTGTTGCGCTCCTGACCAACCTTGGCAGAGTAGTTGGACTGGACCTTGGTGGGGGCGTTTTGTGTGCGCAAGGAGTTCTGAGAGGTGCGGAGCAGGCGGGCCTTCATGCCTGATGCACCATTGAAACCATGTGATGTAGGAGCGCTAACTGCAAATGGCTGTGGGGGTTGTGAGGAGGGAGGAGGGGGAGGAGCGTTGTTCAGGAAATCCATCAAGCTCTCCTCCTCGCGCCTGGGTTTGGGGTTTTGTTCCTCTTCCAGAAGCTCTTCTAGAAGCGCGTCATCGTCATCGTCGTCGATGGCGTAAGGATCTGGAACACGGCGTTGCTTCCGAACAGGCTTGGGCTCGTCGAAGTCCGTGGCGCTTCCCGATGCTGTAGCCTTATTTCGGGTTGAATCCAGCAACCCAGACCGCGAACCAAGAGATGTCAAGGATTTATTGGGTGTAGATCCATTACCAGTGGTGATGAAAGAGCTGGATGTGGTGTTATCCATCTGAAGATCATCCGAATCGATGGTGTTGCGGAAAGGTGCAACTGTCCGAGGAATTCGGTGAGCACCTGCTGGCATAGGAGGCCCCTCGCGAATGAAGTCGATGAGGTCCGAGGTCTGAGATCCTCTCGTCTCAGCAGACCGAGCTTGAAGCTTAGGTCGGTTGCCACGGGAGGCAGTGGAGAGAGTTGATGGAGGACGAACAGGCCGCGTGCTCTCGGCAGAGAAAGAGGTCTTAGACTCGTTTGGCGCACTAACAGGGCCAGTCGATCTCATGAATTCCGCAAAGTCGCGGGTCGAATCTGAGGGTGCGATGCGCGCGTCCCGCGCCTGTCCAATCTTGCTAGACCTGGACGTTGATGACATGTTGGTCAAGCGCGTGGTAAGCGGGATGTGCTTAGGTGACTCAATGGATCTGGTGGGGGAGATTGGAGTCATCTCTCCAGTTGCTCTTGAGGAAACCGAGGCATGAGGACGGTGTTTATCTTCACCTGGTGGCGCAGTGGTATTTAAGAAATTAGCCAGGTCGGAGACGCCTGCCGTCTCTGATCGAGGAACTGATCGGTTGGGCAAGTCAGGGAAGGTCATCTCCCTCACACTTCGCGGAGTAAGGGTGTAATGGATCGTCTCATCACTGTTGATCAACTTGTCCAAATCGGCAATTTCGTTGTCTACAGAGTCCACGCTCCCGCCAGATGCGCGACTAGTTTCAGACGAGCTGCGCATGCGGGGCGAACCAGATTCACCCTGTGGTCGACTCATGATACCCTTCAACTTGCTAGACACCTGCGATGTGGTAGAGCCAGCGGTCACTGGACGCACGTTCTCGCGAGAACTACCGAAGCTCCCAGACCGACGGGATATAATCGATGGTCGAGGCATGCGCTGAACAGCGGCTCGTTCAACCGCGGTGGCAGAGGCGGAGGCGGAGGAGTTTCGGTTGCTGGTTGTGACCTCCAACGGAGCAGGTCTGGGGCGAGTTTTCGATCGCTGGGAATTACCTGAACCAGAAGTCGGGCGAGGGATATCGGCGGAGAGAGATTTTGAAGATTTTGTTGTTTCGGTGTATTCCTCCAACGGCCGAGTCGGGGGGGTGGTCGTCATGTTCATGTTATTGTGATCATCATCTGTCGCATCGTGACTGATAGAAGATGTGATAGCCTCGATGGGGGGTGCGGGTGGAGCCGGCGTGGCCTCAACCCCTTGCGTTGAAGGCTGACTCTTCGCAATGGCTTGCATTTCAGAGTCGCTAGTCTGTTCAGAGATCGACCTTGCATTCAGTAGACTGGCATCCCTGGAGGATTGTCGTTTTGGTCGGTGTATCGTCGAAGTCAATTTAGGCTTTTCGCATAACCCAGTGCCTTCAATTACTTCTGGGTCTTTCTGATTGGGCCGATCGCCCAAGGATACGAGGGAGACGCGAGCACTATTGGATTGATCGGTCATATCGTCTTCATCTTGTGCGATAGCGCGCAAGGACGCAACCGTCTCGCTGACTGCAGGACCTATCTCCTCCTCTTCTTCATGCAAGATCGACATTCTCGCATTTTCGGAAGCTTCTTCTGCAGGTTCGAAGGACGGTGTCTCTTTGTGTTCTGTCGTGAAAGCAATGCCAGGGGTAGTAGTTTCGGCTGCATCCACATATTCTGCCGATTCATCATCCTCGTACATAGTCTCGAGTTGCTTTTTCTCCGATGCGGTGGGTGATGGGTGTTCTGTTGGCGACTCTGGCTCCTCCTCAGCGGAGTCGGGTGCGGGTGCTCCATTAGGTAGAGACCTCGTACGAACATGACGGAATGATTTGCCGGGTTCAATAGCTGACGCACTCACAGGCGAGCTGTTTGCTGAACCTGGAGATTTTGGCACAAGCGAGGGCGAGGAAAATACCATCAGACTACGCGGTCGCACCTTGTGGGCGACAACGGCCTGCATGGTCTGCACCTCCCCATCTAGATCGCCAATGTAGCCCGGGACCTCGATCTCTTGAACGTCGTAATCGCTCATTGGCAAGGGAACAGTAGC